AACAGAGACAATGTTCTTAGAACACAAGCCCGATATATATATATATATATATATATACAAATACCTATACGACCACCCTTCGGGTGATAAGGAGGTTCGGGGGGGGAGGAACCAACGTCTCACTCGATCGGTCTCACTATCGATCTCACTATCGATCTCAGTATCGGTCTCGCTCGATCGATCTCCATCGATCGATCTCACAATCGATCTCACTCGATCTATCTCACAATTGATCCGACTATCGATCTCACAATCGATCTCACAATCGCTATCACATTGAGTCTCACCATCGATCTCACTATCGATATCACAACCGCTATCACAATCAACGTCATCATCATCATCAACAACATCAGCATCACCATCATCATCACCAACATCATCATAATCGGGACACCGTCCTCATCATCAACACCAACATCATCATCATCATCATCATCATCATCATCATCATCATCACGGTCATCAACATCATCGGGACACCACCATCATCATCATCATCACCATCATCACAATCATCATTTTTTTTCTTTTTCTGTTTCCCGCCATTGGCTCAAACTGTTTCTAATTCAGTGCTGTAACCCTGTCCGTCTCTATCGACCTGACCGCTGGGACTTCACCTTTCTGAAGCCTGCTCAAAGCTCGCCTACCGTGCGTGGTGGGTCTGCCCTGGCAGGGATGCAACAGGTTCCGTGCGCCTTTCTGAGCATAGAACCCGCAGCGAAGACATATCAGGGTGCCAAATCTCTGATGGACCCCGATTGCGTGTGAAACATGCAGTTCTCTCCCATTAAAAACTTGGACTCCAGCAGGTGAGAGCATGACGCCTCTCATGAGGCCACGCACGCAAGGAGTGTCGAGGAATCTGTTCAACTCCCTCCTCGGCGCCGATCCTCCACACTCCTTGCAACGAACTCTGGAGCCTGCAATGCAAACGCCGTGGTGCTCTGTGACCTGTACACTTCGTGCCTCTCTCGCTCTACGGTCTGCTAGCGCTCTATCGCTCGGTTGTTGTCGTGGCACTGTCTCGATTACCTGACCTAGTACTTTGGCAAGATGCTTCCTGACTGCGAAACCTACCGCAGTCGACATTTCCACCCTGCACCTATCAGCGAAAGAGACTCGAAACTCCTCGGCTAGTCTGCTTGCCGCCGCATCTGCGATAGAATTCACAAGGAAGCTGGCTGGGCTCACGCCCTGCTCGAGCGCCTCGTCAGCGCTGAGGTGACTCTCCACCTTCAGCACTCTGAGCCCTTTGTCGGGGTGGTTGGCTATCGTCTCTCCAAGCCGTCGCCACACGTCCACATGCGTGTCTGGGCTCTTGCCCACTCGCAGCTTCTCGACGCCTCTCATCACATAATCAGAGTCTGTGATATACACAGCGTGCGCTAATGGCAGAGTGGCCGCTGCAAACTCTAATAGAGCCGTGGCTTCACCACGGTTGACTGTTTGAAACATTCCTGGCAGATTCCCTCCTTGCAAGTGCCCCAGACCCAACTCACCCGCGTCGTAGCTCCCATCCTCTCGAAAACCAGTGAGCGTCGCAAACGCCCATGCTACTCTGCGCAGCCTAGGGTCTCTGTCTTTGCCGCCACTCGCGTCACCTCCTCCAAAGATGACCCCTGGCGTTCCGAAAGACTGGTGGCTCGACCTGCCGAAAACAAAGCTGATGGCCTCTTCTGTTGGTTCTGGGACACTAGTCCACGTGGAGGGCACTAGCCCTCGGATCCAAAGGCTAGGCAGGCTGTCCGCCTCGTTCCTTGCCTTGGCTATTAGACTCCGCGATATATCTTGAAACTCCTCATTCGCTGGGCACTCCCAGCATCTGTGCTTGTCAGTCTCGGGTGCCTGGTTGCATCTGGGACAGAGCGCGTCCTCCTCTAGTCCATACTCAAAAAGTCGCTGCCTACACCAAGTCGCACCTGTCATCACACACTGTAGCAAACCTTTCCACTTACAGTCCTTGCGCTTTGCTGCCAGGCGGCATTGCTTTCTCGGGCCTGACATCTCTGGCACCTGCTGCAAGCCTTCTCCCATCCAGGAGTTCTTTGCAGCGCCTGCCCAAAGCTTCCTACTTACACTGTCTGCTATACTGGCAAAAAGGACGTGCGATTTGTCCAAAGGCCCCTTTCCTATCAGCTCGACAGGCGCTTCAAATAACTCATCTATATCACTGTGCCAGCGCCACGGGCCTTCAGGATTCCAGCCTAGATCGAGCAGAGTGCAAATCGTTGCGGCCATGGGTGAGCATACTCGCCTCCATCGATTCTTCCTGGCCCTGCAGCTCAAATTGGCGAGCACTCTGCTCCAGCCTCTCTGAACCCGCTCTGGGTTGATCCTCCGGTCTCCTAAGATAGAAAACCACATCTTGACTACATCAAAGACCGCTGTGTAGGCTGGGTCCTGTGTCCCATACTCCAGCGCGAGGAGAGTGGTTAGGCATCTGCCGTGCTTCTTCCTGCTCGACAGGTCTGCCAATGCCCGTCTCCACCGCGTTACTACACTGGGAGCTGTCCCATACACTTGATCCGAGTAACGAGACTGAGCGAACGCCGAGACCGAAATCATTCTCCTGGACAGCTCCCGATGTTTGCGCGCTCCACGTGCAAACCTTGATAACTTGCGAATCTTAAAACTTGCTGCTGCGCGCCTCGCTGCTTGCTTTGGCCTACTCTTCGAAATCCTGCCCCTATCAAGTCCCAAATCTGGTGCATTCGGCTTCACCTGAATGCTGATGTTGGCGTCTTTAAACCGCTGGGATAACTCTCGAGCTGCTACTGGCGATGAAGAGATGATGCATGACTTGGCCGCTGTAGCCAGGTGGATGTCGCGCAGGCCTGCCACTAACTGCTGGCCCGCACGAAACAGCGTCTCCACTAATCTCTGCCTGGGTGCTTCACAACGCTGCACTATGTCGTCGACCCATGTGTGCAAGCTGGGAGAAGGGGGTGGGCATCTGGCCACTTCTTCGCAGACAAAATACAGGGCACACCTGCCTAGATCCACAGCTCCTGTTGAGCCTGGAATCAGAGACAGACTGGGTTGTATAGCTTCTGAGAAACATCCTTCCTCCCTCAGGAACCTCGGCGACATATGCATCTGAAGCTCCAGCGCCAGATAGATCGCTGGGAAACCTAAAGCGAGTGCCTTCGAAGCTACGAGCTCCCACCGCAGGGAGTCATAAAACCCTTGAACATCCCAAAGAAGGCTGGCGTGCTCGAGGTCTGGGAGGCATGACTGCTCTGCAAGCTCGTCCTGAAACGCTCTCCAAACAGCTACACGCAGCGCCGATGAGCCCGCAATGGCCGTGTCCCAATGCCCCGCTCTCTGCGCACACCACTGCGCCCTTTCAAAGTGGCGGAGTCTGCCCCAAAGGCGGGGTAGCCACGGCAGTAGACCTATGGCCCTGTCTGCCTCTCTGTTCTTGACCTGCAACATGACTAAAACCGTCATAAGCTGCCATGGCCAGCAAGCACGCGCTTCGATGAAATTAAAAAGATCTGTAAGCTGGCGGATCCCCGCTGGGGGCAGAAAGGCAAAATCTCGCTTGTTGCACTGATCAACTCCATTCGCCCGACATGGCACTCGTGCTATTACTCTCTGAACGTGCTCAGGATCCAATGGCGGGAGTGGGTTCAAGATGGCCTGCCTCTGCGCCCGTCGCCACAAAAGAACCGCCTCTGGAGTGCATGAGGTGCCCGCCCCCCACTTGGCGCCCCACACCTTTTCCTTGAGACTGATACGGCTGATGGCGTCTGGCGCTGAGGTCGTGCCTGACCTCACTTCCCCTACGAAAACATTCTTGGGTTTGATCATCCTATAAAGACCCTTGCCTCCCGCCAGGGCTTGTTGCAGAACCCAATCCTTAAAACCTTGCTGGTTCACACTCTGCAGAACTCGGTGCGCCCTGGTCGCGTTTTGTCTTGCCCTCAGACTGAAATCCGCGATCTCTCCGTCAGACGCTTTGTCGAGGTGGCCAAGCCCCTCCTTCCAGACTCCCCACTGCCGAGAAGGAAGAGGCATGAGGGACGAGGAGGGGAGCTGGCTCACGAGCTCGCGCACTCTGGTCAGGAGCGTGTCGAAACGCGATCCTCTCTTGGGCAAGCAACTTCTGAGTTCTTCTAAAAGAAACGCGACTGTGGCCCACCAGTGTGCGACTGGATCTGACGCTGAAACAAAGGTTGCTCCCTGCGCTTCTGGCTTGAAAACTAGCTTATTGGCCTGTCCTCGTCCGCGATAAGCGTCTCGCTTTTGCGGCGGGATCCCGTGTGTCAGGATGAAGAATTCTTCCATTCTGGAAACCCATCGGGCGTATTCCATGCCTCCAGCTACAGAAGACGCCCGATCTAGTTGGAAAGCTGAAGACTCTGCTATATACTTCGGAGGCTGCGAGAAGTTGTCCGAGTGCAGACTTGTCTGTAGCCCTTGCCACAGACTGTCCAACTGGACGGCATACAGCTGGTGGAGCGTATGCTTAAACTCGCTGGCCTCATCATCAATATCATCATCATCATCATCAGCAGCATCGGGACACAGTCATCGTCATCATCATCATCAGCAGCAGTATCATCATCGGGGCACCATCATGATCACCATCGTTATCATCATCATCGTCATCATCATCATCATCATCATCATCATCATCATCATCATCGGGACACCATCATCATCATCTCATCCTCATCATCGACATCATCATCATCATCATCATCAGCATCATCAACATCACCATCAGCATCATCATCATCATCGTCATCATCGGGGCACCATCATCATCATTACCAACATCAGCATCAACATCATCATCATCATCACCATCGGGACGCCATCATCATCAACATCAGCATCATCGCCATCAGAAAAAAACATCATCAGGACGCCATAATCATCATCAACCTCATCATCATCAACATCATCATCATCATCATCATCATCATCATCATCATCATCATCATCATCATCATCGGGACACAATCATAATCAGCATCATCAACATCAACATCAACATCAGCATCATCATCGGGACACCATCATCGTCATCATCATGATCATCAACATAATCATCATGATCATCATCATCCTCATCATCGGGACACCATCAGCATCATCATCATCGTCATCATCATCACCATCATCATCATCATTATCATCGACATCATCATCATCATCATCATCATCATCATCATCATCATCATCGGGACACCATCATCATATCATCATCATCATCATAATCATGATCATCGTCCTCATCATCATCATCATCATCACCACCATCAGCATCATCCATCATCATCATCATCATCGCATCATCATCATCAGCATCATCCATCATCATCATCATCATCATCATCATCATCATCATCATCATCATCATCATCATCATCATCATCATCATCATCATCATCATCATCATCATCATCGCGGGACACACCGGCACCGCGGGACACCGGGGACACCGCGGGACACCGCGGGACCGGCGGGACACCGGGGCCACGGGCCGCCCGGAAGGGAGACATTTGGTCCGGCCGCGCCTCAGCCACACGGGACACCGGCGGGACACCGGCGGGACACCGCGCGCCACCGGCCGCCCGGCGGAGAATCATTTGGTCCGGCCGCGCCTCAGCCACAGGAGACTTTCCTCTCGCCCGCCCACGCAGCTTCGCCTCGCCCGCACGGCACGCACGAACACGAAACCGAAATCGATTTCTCGGTAGGGGGGCTCTCCGTTCCAATTCGATCTCACCCCCCAACCTCCGATACATATATATATATATATATATACATATATAATATATAAATATATATATATATATATTATATAATATATATATATATATATATAAATATGTATATATAGACATACATATTTATCTATACATACATGTATATATACATATATACACACATATGAAAGAACAACACTGTCTCTCCCCATAAGCGTTCTGAGAACATGTCGTGCAAACCACGGGTGGTTCTTAGAACATTCTCTGGTGGGCCTATGGGCAGGCCAGGACGCCTCGCCACTGCTTGAATGGGGGGTCGCTGCGTCCCCCCTGTGCCTACAGCGGAGGCCAGTCCACAAGAAACCTTCCACAAGAAATCCAACCCTGAGACCCCAGGACTTCCATCGATTTTCGGTGTGGGCACGTCGCGCTTTCCACAGCAAAACCACCGACACCCAAGAAACCCGAGGCACCCTGGAGGCGAGCAGGGTGTTTCTTGGCATAGGCCTCCACTGTAAGTACGGGTTCCATACGTGTTTTCTCAATGTTCCCCGACCCCCCCTACTGGAAATGGAGGGCAAATTGAGACCTTCGGGTTGGGTTGGGGTGGTTTGGTGGGTGGTGACCCCTGGCGGGCTGCGCCTGAATGTGACCTCTTGCTCCCAGGGCCCACTCCGCGGCACGGCGAGAAACCACGGCGCGGGGCCTGCTTGCCCGCTCCGCCAACAGGGCACGTTTTTTCTCTTCCAGCGGGGGCTTGTGTTGCCGATCTCTCGGCGACGCCTCGCCGATGCCAGCTCGGTGTCACCTCGCCCGAGCCAGTCCCCCCCCCCCCTCCCATCGTCGCCCCCCCTCCATCCGCCCCCCCCCCCCGAGCAGCTGCGGCGCGGGGGGCCGTGCCTGCAGGAGGAGGAGGAGGAGGAGGGGGAGGAGGAGGAGGAGGAAGAGGAGGAGGAGGAGGGGGGGGGGAGGGGCGGGCCCGGCAGTAGTGCCCACGGCCTCTCGAGGTGGAGGAGGAAACGCCGACGCCCAGGGGCGCCGATGCCGATGGCCCCCCCGGATGGCCCGGGGGGCCCTCGATCTTCGACCGTGGACACAGATCCTTCGATCCGGGAACCTAGATCCTCCAATGGGATCCTCCGATCTGGCATCCTCGACCCTCCTCGACCTGGATCCCTCGATCTGGGATCCTCGGCCCTCGAGGAGCACAAACGCCCAGCCCTTCGACGCTCGACAAGTCCCCCAGAAACCACAACTCTCCAAGTTGCACGATCCATCAGCGCCGACATCGGGAAGCGGATCGCATCGGAACGGGCGTCGGATCGGGTCGGGCGCTGACCCCGCTCCTCGTCGGGCAGGGCCACCGACAGCTCCGCCGCCCACTGCGCGCTGCTGGCGAGCTCGCGGAGGGACAGCTCGGCGACGGCCCGGCAAAGCTCCTCCTGGATGGCCTCGGGGGCGGCTGGAGCAACAACTCATCTTTACCATCGCCCTTCCTTCCTTCCCGCACGCCCTATTTCCTTCATCCGCCGCCTCCTCCTCCTCCTCCTCCCGTTCCTAGGGCATGCACACATGCGTTAGCCAGCGTGGACCCTAACCACTGCGTTTCGAACCACCGATGTTGTGCAATCTATGCGGTAGAGTGGCACATGGAGTGCAAACAATGTTGTGCAAACTGTGTTATGCAATCGTCGTGGGGCAATCTACGTTGTGCAATATAGGTGGTGTAATATATGTTATGCAGCCGATGTGGCGAGTTCTTTATGGTGAAGTTAATTTCTGTTCGCAGTGAGTTGTCAACTCGCACGCTCTTGCAAACATCCCACCCACCCACCCGCACCTTGGTTTGCAAAACCCATGCCGTGGCGATTGCGATGCATGCTTGGCGTTGACTGGTGCGTCTCTGCGGCCGCGCCATCCCTAGGCTTGGCGTTGGCTGGTGCATCTCCGCGGCCGCGCCAACCCTAGCACGCGCGCGCGCAGCGGCCAGCTAGTTTGGCGCCACCGACGCGGCCGCGGTGGCGCTGAACGCTGGGCGCATCCCAGCGGGCACTTCACTGCGAGTCGGCAACGTGGGCGGGCGCGGTATCATGGCAACGCCGGCTGCGGTGGACACGATGACAATAGTGGCGATGCTGGTGACGATGTTCGCACCGACGAAAGCGCGGCCAGTGCGGGCGCCGATGCTGATCACGCCAACAACGATGACGGCGTCTTTGCGTCGGTGGTGAAGGTCTTGGAAAAAGTTCGACGTGCGCGCCCGGCCGACGCGCGAGTGGCCCGCGTGGTTTTACTGGACACGGATTGTGCCCCCCAAGCGCGCAAGGGCGTGCGAATGCTGTCTGCATGCGGCGCCAGAAACCCATTTGGCCGAATTCCATGAACATGTTGAACACCTTAACAAGTTTGCCATGGAATTCGCAAAATCGCGCAAGTTTTTTTTCAGGAAAACGGATATTGCGAAACCATGTGTTTGCACATGTTTTTGGACATTCGGTTTTGAAATCGCCACGATGCGCGCGCCCACTTCGTCCCATGTTTTGCCGAGGATTCTCGCGAGGGCACGCGCCCAAAGGCGCTCGGGCGTTCTGAAAGCGTTGAAGAAAAAAACAACCTACAATTTTCTTCAAAAATCGCAAGAACTCGCGCTTGTTGTGAACATCCGTGTTGCGAGCGAAACCATTCGCTTGTATATGTGTTTGGACACTCGATTTGGGAATCCTTCCGGGACCTAGAATGTTAGAAGGATTTCGGCATGCGCGCGCGACGAAGCGCGCGCGCGTACGTCGCCCCATGTTTTGCAAAGGCATCCCGCGACGGCACGCGCGCAAAGGCGTCCGAACAATTTCGGCATGCTGCGCGCGCGACGACGCGCGTGTGTGCGCTTCGTCCCATGTGTTGCAAGGGGTTCTTGAAAACTTATGATGCTTGATACACGAGTGCGAGCACATGCTTTTACTTGCAGAGGATGGCGGGGGGGTCAATGCTGGCCCAGCTGGGATGGCATGGATTCATATCTAGGATGGGCGATGGGGCGACGGGGCAGAATCATGCAAATTGCCATGCGAAAGGGGGGGATTGATAAACCCGCGGGGGGGGGAGGTGGGGGGGTCTGTTCTGTTTGTAGACAGAAGAATCAATGTGGCGCCGCCGATGTGGTCCACTCTATGTTGTGAAATCTACACAGTGTAATCCACTCTGCTGAAATTGAAATCGTCATCTCCACTGCTCGCGCAAACATCCCACCCACCCACCCGCAACTTGGTTTGCAAAACCTCTTACGACCAAGTACGACGACACCGACGACAACGACTACGACGACACCGACGACGTCTCTGACGACTTCGACGACGACAACGACGCCGACGCCGACGCCGACGAAGACGACGACGACGACGCCAACGAAAGCCACGACGAGGGAGGAGGAAGGACGACGACGGCGACAACGACGACAACGACGACAACGACGAGGGAGGAGGGAGGACGGCGACGACGTGAACGACGAAGAAGGAGGAAGGACGTCGACGCCGCTGACGACAGCGACGAGGAAGGAGGGATCACGACGACGACAACGACTACGACGACGACGACGGCGACGAAATAGGAGGCACGACGACAAGACGCCGACGACGGACGACGACGAAGACGAGGGAGGAGGAGGAAGGACGACCACGGCGACAACACGACCACGACGCCAAAGAGGACGATGACAACGAACACGAGGAAAAACAGAGGACGACGTAGGCGACGACGACGACGACGCGGGAGGAGGGAGGACGGCGACGACGACGACGACGACGACGACAACGACGACGACGCAAGAGCGCGCGCGCACGCTTTTGTTGACAATCCGTGCTGCCAAACCTTGGGTGTTGTAGGTTTTCTGGGCACACGATTTTGAAATCCTTCCGAAACCGATGGGTTTTGAAGGATTTCGGCATACGCGCACGACGACGCGCGCGTCTGCACTTCGTCCCATTTGTTGCAGAGGATTCTCGCGACGGCACACGCGCAAGGGCGTTCGACAGATTTCGACATGCGCGCGCGCGAAGCCCGTTTGGTAGCATTTTGTGAAAATCTTGAAAAACCTATGGTTTTTTTTTTGATTTTAAAGATTTCGCAAGAGCTCGCGAAACGTTGTGTTTTTGTATGTTTTTTTGGAAACTCGATTGCGAAATCCTTCCGACACCGAGGGTTTTTGAATAATTTCGGCATGCGCGCGCGACGACGCGCGCGTGCGCACTTCGTCCTTTTTTTCTGCGAGGGATTAACGCAACATGTTATGTTAGAACAAACAATGCCATCGCATAGTGTTTTTTATACAAGGGACCTTCAGGGAGGGGATACCGGCCCCCCAAGGATAGTGCAAATTCATGTTTAAGATGGAAATGTGGTCAGAATCGTATACCATTTACATACCCGAAAGGGGGACCGATAACGCTGGGGGGGGAGATCCTATTCTGTTTTTAGAAAGGAGACTTAATTTCTATTCGCAGCGAATTGTCGAGTCACACGCTGTTGCAAACGCCCCACCCGTCCAGCCGCAACTTGATCTGCAAAACCTACGCGGTGGCGATTGCGATGCATGCTTGGCGTTGGCTGGTGCATCTCTGCGGCCGCGCCAACCCTAGCACGCGCGCGCGGCGGCCTGCTAGTTTGGCGACGACGAGGCCGCCGCGGCGGCGCTGACCGCTGGGCGCATCCCAGCGGGCACTGCACTGCGAGTCGGCAACTTGGGCGGGCGCGGCGCCATGGCGCGTCGACTACGGTAGTCACGACGATTATAATGGCGATGCTGGTGACGATGTTCGCACCGACGAAGGCGCGGCCAGTGCGGGCGCCGATGCTGATCGCGCCAACAACGATGACGGCGTCCTTGCGTCGGTGGTGAAGGTCTTGGAAAGAGTTCGACATGCGCGCGCGGCCGTCGCGCGAGTTGCCCGCGCGGTTTTATTGGGCACTCATCGCGCCCCCCCCCGCACGCGTGCAAGGGCGCGCGAATGCTGCCGGCATGCGGCGCCAGAAACCCGCGTGACAGAATGCCATGAGCCTGTTGCAAAAAACAATGGTTTTCGTAAGAACTCGCAAGAGCGGGCGCGCAAGCTGTCTTGTGAAAACTGACGCTGCAAAGCCACGTGTGTTTTGAATGTCTTCGGGCGCTCGGTTTTGAAATCCTTCCGGGACCTAGAGCTTTTGAAAGATTTCGGCATGCGCGCGCGACGAAGCGCGCGCGTGCACTTCGTCAATTTGTTTGCGAAGATTCTCGCGACGGCACGCGCGCAAAGGCGTCCGAGTGATTTCGTCATGCGCGCGCGAAGCCCGTTTGGCAATAATTCTAAAAAAGGTAGGAAAACACATGACTGTGCCAACAATGTGCAAGAGCACGCGCGCTTTTTTGGGACGTCAACGTTGCGATGCCATGCGTTTTTGTTTAAGTAGGCACTCGATTTTGAAATCCTTCTGGGGCCTACGCTTTTTGGAGGATTTCGGCATGCGCGCGCGTCGACGCGCGCGTGTGCCCTTCGTCCTATTCTTTGCACAGGGTTCTTGGAAACTTATGGTTTGCTATAGACGAAAGTGCGCGCAGATGGTTTGTTGCAGAGGATGGCAGGGGGGAGTCGACACCGGCTCGGCTGGGATGGTACGAATTCATACTTAATTCATACTTAAGACGGACGATGGGGACAAAATCGCATGCAAATTGCACTGCAAAAAAGTGGGCCGACAAACCCGGGGGGGGGGGCGGGGGGGGGTATAATCTATTTTCATGTAAGTGACTACCCTGCACCGCGCTTGACCACCTCCACTGCTCGCGCAGACATCCCACCCGCCCACCCGCAACTTGGTCTGCAAAACCAACGCGGTGGCGATTGCGATGCATGCTTGGCGTTGGCTGGTGCGTCCCTGCGGCCGCGCCGACCCTAGCGCGCGCGCAGTGGCCGGCTAGTTTGGCGCCGCCGACGCGGCCGCGGTGGCGCTGACCGCTGGGCGCATCCCAGAGGGCACTTCACTGCGAGTCGACGATTTGGGCGGGCGCGGTATCATGGCAACGCCGACTACGGTAGTCGCGACGATTATAGTGGCGATGCTGGTGACATGTTCGCACCGACGAAGGCGCGGCCAGCGCGGGCGCCGATGCCGATCGCGCCGACGACAATGACGGCGTCCTCGCGTTGGAAAGAGTTCGACAAAAGCAAGGCCGACGCGCGAGAATGGCCCGCGTGGTTTTATACGACGCGGGTCGTTGACCGCCCTGCACCCGCCGGACACCCCCAACACAGAAATATTCGGATGAGTTCTGGTGTCTGGGTCATTTGCGAGCTGCGTGCGCCCTCTGGCACATATGCGACAACGCGCGCATGCGAGGTATAACGGGCCGACGGCCGCGCTCTTTTCAAGTGGAGTTGTTCTGCAATGTCCCCGTTGATCGCATTGAATTGCAATGCGCGGCGAGATCACGGCGGGCGCCGCTTGCGTGGATGCGCGCCGATTGACTCCTTCGCCCAAAGATGTGTTGGAGCACATCCACGCAAAGCGTGGTTGTGTGGTCTGATTCGCCCTTGCGACTCGTGCGTGTAGGTGCTGTTCCCCTTATCGTTCGCGCTCCTGCCCCAAACTGCGGCGGCTGTGCGTTGTCAGTCTTTCGCAGCTCCGCTTGTCCCCGCGAGCCCATCCGGTTGCCCGCGCCTCGTTCGCCTTGCGTTGGGCCGACGCTCAATCACCCCGCGCGATGCGTTGTGACATATACAACGATCGCGTAACCAAGCTTGACATGGC